CCAGATAGTTTGAGCTGATCATAAGTGCTAGAGGGAGCTTAATCAAAACAAATGGAACAACAACATTTGGGGGTTGGCACACAAGAGACTATGGCATGGGAAGTGATGAAAAAATGGGTTTCGAAAAATTCCATAGAAATACTTTGTGACATGACTTTCCATTTCGAAGAAAAAGTTGGCTGGAGGGAATTCGTGCTATATTCTCACCGGAGACCTCTGATAGCCTTACTGAGCAGGCCCCTAAAGGCTGGATTCTCAAGTTGTATGGAAAACAAACTTGAGGCTGTAGATCTCCTTATCATCGTTTGGCATGTGCACCGGGTAACTCTCGTGATCAAGGCTTTACTTCATGGACCATGTCTATGATCAAACACCTCTGCAGTTAGCCAACAATCTTTGGTCTTTGCCGCTTCTCTCGTCCGTCTATCCATAATGCCAAGTCTATGCTTCCCTTTTGTGATATGACTTTCCAGTTCGATTTGAAAGTTGGATGGAAGAAATTCGTCAAGGACTTATTTGCTCAAAACAGCAGTCTTCCATGCGCGGCAATCCTCCTTTCGGTTTCCTGTGAGACCACATCACGAATTCCCTCCACCCAACTTTCCCTTCGAAATGGAAAGTCATATCATAAGTGGAAAGCATAGACTTGGCATTATGGGTGCGGCGAAGACCAAAGATGGTTGGCTAACTGAGGACGTGTTTGATTATAGACATGGTCCATGAAGTAAAGCCTTGATCACGAGATTTACCCGGTACATATGGCAAACAATGATAAGGAGATCTACAGCCTCAAGTTTATTTCCAATACAGCTTGAGAATCCAGCCTTTCGAGGTGTGCTCAGTGAGGCTATGAAAGGCTAGAGGCAGAATGCAGAAAATAACGCCTCGAGTAGCGATGATACGGTGGCAGAGATCGGCTGAAATCATTGAATCAGGCAGATGAGAGACGGATCCTACTGAGCAATAAGGAGATTATGATAAGATTTGGAGAGATGAGATTTTGGACTAAAATAACACACTCGGATCAGCACACCCAGCACAGTGGTGGTGGGGAGGCATAAGGTAAGCAGCGGGGAGCTCAAATAAATATCACCATATCTACTCAAAAGGGCGCATCTCAACTAGTTTTAAATGAGCAATATGAAATGTATTCACCCTACTTCGTTTAAGGTTTTGAAGGGCTAGTAGTAGAATTTTCCCGCAATGATATGAGTAGAGCTGACGTTTACATTACATTTCACATAACCTTGCTTTCCCAAAACTTGCTCTCAGGGTGGACGGCAGTTTCGTCGTCGCATAGGTCTTATCAGCACCCCAAGTATGAGTCGAACCGTCACAGTGCAGAATGTGAGCTTGACACGTTAACCACTCGGCAAGCTTGCCACAAGTGCCCTTGGGTCACAGGGCAGATGTGAATTTTAAGGAAGGCCAAGCCTTTTGCTATATCATATTCTTTGGTGAGATCATCGATAAAGTCCTTCATCACCTTGAACGAAATAGGGTGAATACATCCCATATTACTTAAATGCGAAAAATAAACTAACT